CGCTTCCCAAGCGGCGCACTAGCGCAGTGCGCCACTGGGCCGGCCCTCTGAATACTTTTTTTAAAAAAAAATTCAACCTCGAAAGTCTGCACATAAAATTAAATATCCACTTCTAGTGTAGGGGGGACCTGCTTTATTATACTTAACCAATTCTAGGTATTATAATAGAATTTTTTTCATTTGATGGCCAAAAAGTAATATTTCTAATATTATTTAGTATTTCTTGTTCCATTTTTACTATAGATTTTGCAAATTAGGTCTGTTATGTTCTTTGCTTATTTTCTATTTCCTGTTATCTTTTTTCCTCTTTATATAAGACTATTAACTCTCTGTTTAATATACATTGAAAACATTTATTCCCAGTTTTCTGTTACTTTGTTTTGTTTTAACATGGTAGAGCTTTAAAAATTTTATGTCGTAAATTTTGTGTCCCCTGTATATTTTCTTTTATGTTTAGAAATGCCTTACCTATCTCAAGATTCCATAAATACCCATATTTTTGCATTAGAACTTTTTAATATACGTGGAATTTATTTGGCTGTATCATTTGCACTGGAGAAGTAATTTTTTCCAGTTGTGGTAGCAACATTGTTGTTTTAATAATTCATCATTTCCCTCATTGGTTTGAAGTGCCACTTTTATATGCATTATTTGTTTATACATACTGGTATTTGATTTTGCTTTTTGCTGTTGTGTATGGGATTTTCTTTTTTTCTTTTTTTTTTTTTTTCCCAGTTATTGCTGATACATGGAATAAGCTATGAATTGTTGTTAACCAGTCATTTTATACAGTTCTCTTAACATTTCCAATAGTTCTTTCTTCAGGTGATTCTCTTGGATTTTCTGGGTAGGAAATTATATATGCCAAGATGATCATTTTGTTTTCTCTTTATAATTGTGTGCAACTCTAATCTCATTGTCCTGAACTTTCAGCACAATGTTAAATGATAGTCATGATAGCAAATATCCTTGTCTTGTTCCTCATTTAATAGTGACCATTGTGTTTACTTGTTTGTTTTTCCTAGATGTCTCTACCTTAGTTAGAAGATGCCCCAATCTTGTCCACCTAGACTTAAGGTATTTTTTTGTTTGTTTGTTTTAGATTAAAAATTGAAAAACCTTGATTGCTCACAGAATGGGGAAAGGACCTTAATATTGAATTGAGGAAACAAAGCAGTAGACTATTTCTGTCTTTTCCATCTAGGATCAGTGGGTGGTTTTGAATGTCTTTTCTTCTGCTCTGTTACAGTGATAGTGTCATGCTAAAGAATGACTGCTTTCAGGAATTTTACCAGCTCAACCACCTCCAACACCTATCACTCAGTCGATGCTATGATATAATACCTGAAACTTTACTGTAAGTATATTTTGTTTTTAACGCTAGTGGAAGACAGGGACCAACAGAGATGCCACTTGGTACTAAAGTCCGTTGTTATTAGTAATAGCAGATGTTTAAAACTTAAACTTTAATATTAGTGTACCACCAGCTGTCTAGGAAAGACCAGCAAAGTAGAAAAACCAAGGCAGAGTTTTTGGCTTAAAATATCTGGTAAAGTTGAGTTGACAGAGATCGTCCACTGAGCATTTATTAGCTGTAAGCAGTTGTAAATACTAGAATACCGTTATAGTATCTTTGGAGGACTTGCAAAAGTAGTAGAAGACAGCTTTAACCTCCAGGGAACTCAGAGTATAATTGGGGAGGCAGACCCAATGTGGGTTGGTTTCTTTTTTTTTCCAAATTTTTCAAATCAACTTCAGTTGATTCCAAAAGCTTTCATCTGGGCTTAGAGAAAAAGTCCTGTAATCTTCTAGTGATGTATGTCCTGCTTGGTGAAGGACTGGGAAGAATAAAGGCATGAAGGTGGCATATGTTGCAAGAGTCTGATGCTCTCTTTGAACGGGGGGGATTAAGATCCCAAAGAGTGAAGTGACTTATCCAGACCTGATGGTGAGTTACTGGCTGAGCTAGACCTAGATCCAAGGTCTCCTGGACAGATGTAAAATAGTCTGTATCTAATCTGGTGGCTCATACAAGGGTAGTTTCACCTGCTCAGCAACTTCCACAAAATCAAGGGAGTGCAAAGAACAAAGCAATCTAGTCCATCTTCCTTTTAGGAAGCACTGTACCCAAGTCATCCTCAGAATAATATCATCTCTTCATTTTTAAAATGGTTGCCTTTATTTCATCCCAAAAGACCGAAAAAATCTTCCTAATGTCAAATGTAAATTTATAGCAGTTTTCTTTAAAACCACAAGAGATCAGTAACTTGGACTTGGTCAGGCACCCTTCTTTCTTATTACAGCCCCGAAAGAGGCTGCTGACCTTGTTTAGCTTACTATACAAATGAAGGAAGTTTAGTTTGGGGTTCCTACCTAGGAAGGGTGGTGACTTTGAACAAAGCACTTATTTAGTCCTGAAATTAATGGTTTGGATCTTATAAGTTAGCTTCAAGAATTAATGAATAAATCAAATACCTTAGCTGCAGGGTTAACTAGTAGAATTAGGAAGTCTGATCATAGTGTTTTTTAATTAATCATTGTAATTCATCTCAGGGCTCAGCCTGAGCTGGTATCTCATTTGGAAAAGTACTGCCTTAAAGTATGCCAGTATTTACTTCCATGTCTCTCAAATGTTGGGGTCTAAATTCATATACATGGAACTCTTATTAAAATTGCTGCCCTCTCTATTTTCTAGCATCCAGAACTCCTAGAAGCCTCTAGCGTCTATCCAAAGAGGTTTCTCTGTCATCCATTCTTTCCTGTCCTTGCCATCTGGGCTCCCGTCTCTTTGCCTGTGCAGCCCCCTGGGGAGTGTGGTGATAACTTTCTGGTTGCTTTTCTCAAGAGAATCTATCCATGTGTCTTGCTTTTGTTCCTTCACTGCAGAAAGAAGCTAAGCAGGTAATAACCCAAATGCTTTTCTCAAGCAAAGGCTAGGAGAAGGCTGGGAGCCCTCGCATGTTAATAATCTTATCCAGTGGGTTTATAGTGATAAAAGCAATTGTAATATCTGCAGGCAGTGTGAATTGGTGGTTAGGAGCATGGGCCTGAAGTCACAGACCTAGGTGTGAACCTTCACTGCATTATAATTATGTATTTGTCTAAATCTTACCCTGAAATAAGAGAAACAGGGGAATCATGAGTTTAGTTACCAGTCATACCATCAGAACAGAGCAAAAACAAGAAGGAAGATGCTGTCCTTGAACTCTAAGGTAAAAGAGTATGTTTCTTTAGGCATTATGTAAATAGCATGCTGATTTATCTTGTGAATTCTTCAAGATGAGTTTCTTAATACCCTATTCTTAAGTCTCTCAAGATAAAATGTCTTTCCCTCTAATTTCATTCATTCTGGCAGCTGATGTATTTGAAATTCATAATAAAAATTCCAGGATCCCTCAAGAATAATTTCCAGAGTCATCTATGGATAAAGGATTTAAGGCTATTTATTTCTTAAGTGGGAAAATAAAATTTGAGTGTCTTTCTATTGTAATAATGTTTTAAAATACCTGGGAAACTGTAAGGACCTATCCCCATTGTATTTATTCCCTTACTCCTTAATTGGTCTTATTCTCAATGTCTAAAGTTTCTTCTAATTACTCCCTATTTCTCACTCAAGTAAGAAACCCAAGTGGAGATAGTAAATTAATCTGCGATTAGGAGAGACTAAAAACTCCTATGGTAGAAGAATTTGTAACTGAGGCCTTTAAGATTTTATAAGGAAAGCAGGATTATGTAGATAAGATGAGGAGTAAACCTATGAAAGAGGTTGTAAATATCTTTTATTTACTAAGATTAAACAAAGATATGCCATTATCAATGTCATTTTACACTTAAAGTAATGGCTCTTACACTATTAATTTCTATTTACTATCCTTTAGTTTGCTTTTCAGTCTCTTCCACTGTAGTTTCAAAGAGATATTGTAAATTTGTTCTTTGTGTTGTAGATAGTGCCCATAACAAGGCTTCCCCCCTGCCCCCCCTTAAAATTGTAAAGATTTCCTGGTTTTTTGACTTGGGAACTGGTTCTTCATCCATCATCCCTTCTCACGTGTAACACCCAGATGTGCTCCAAGAGTCTGGTGTAATTTTGTTCCTCACCAAATCTCTTTCCCACCACTATTGCAAGAACATTCCTCCTCTGCCACATGCCATACCTCTTTTTCTTACTCCCACCTATAGTTTCTTGTCTTAAATATTGTCCACTGCAGAATGACTCACAATTTGGCTAATTTGGATATGCCAGAATCGGAAATCTCATGGTTATTGCAAAGTTCTCATACTCAAATTTCACATGAGGGATTCAGTTAGTGTGGGATTGCTATCATCTTAAGTGATGATAAGTACAAACATCTGTGTATTGGGACCTGTCTTTTATGCTCCTGTTTCTACATTCCAGAAATTAGTTTAAGAATTCAACAGCAGTTTGTTCTTCCTGATTTTCTTTTAATCTGTTTTGTCTTCCAGATTATATTATGATCCTTATGAATAAGCATGTTTATTTGGTTAGTGTTTCTATTTTCTAAATTACCCTTCATCTTGTATTCAGCTAAAATATATTAAACATCTGTGGTGTCTAAAACACTTTGTGGAACGTAGAATACATACATTTAGAGTGGCAGTGAGATGACCAGAGGAGCAGGTGACATGCTTTAAGGTCTTATGGCCAGCCGAACTGTCTGGGTTTCGTAAACACAAGGGAAGCATCAAAGGTTTTAGAGCCGGTGAATGACATAATCTGAGCTAGGCTTTAGGGGGATGCCTTGAACACTTGTATATGGGATAGGCTGAAAGGAAGAAAGATTATAGGCCAGGTGACAGTTACTACAAGGAAAGTTGGTTTTTTTTTTTGTTTGTTTGTTTGTTTTAAGTAACTGTTAAGAATGTGAAAATATACAGGATGCTTCTGACTCTAGATCATTGGTGTATTCACTAATCTGCAGTGGGATTTTGTTTAAATTCCAAAACAAATGTTCCCTTTCCTGAGACTTTGTACTTTGTGTCCCAACCTGGAGCAAATACAGATCAGAGAGATGAATTTCTAGGCACATAAATCTGAGTTACAAAGAATCATTACCAAAACCAAAAGGTATTTACTTTGGGTAAATAGGCTCCCTTTTTTGTAAACCAGAATTTCACTATTGACAGTTGTATCTCCCCTAATATGAATTACCTAAGAAGAGGATTAGCCTATCTGTAACAGAAAAAAATAGTAATATATAGAGAGGTAAGATGGCTGTTGGCTTCTATAAAGGTGTCATTGGTCACCCCTTTTCCCCATCTGCACCCAACTACATAACCCTGTCTAAAATATCTTAGGGAAGCCACTAGCTGGTTTCATCACACATAATAGACTTGTTGACTGTGAACAATTATTAAGAAGTTATCAAACCCTGCTGACATCTCCTTTTGAGAAACAGCCTAGTTCAAATAAAGGTCAAGTCCATATCCTTAAATTGCGAGTAACCTATGGTGGTTCCAGCTGACCTCACAATAAATATTTACTTTTACCATCTCTAGTTTGCTAGCTGCTTCTCACAACACAGTAACCCCTCTCAGATCACTGTACAAATCAATAATGGTCGGGGTTTTTTTCTGTTTTGTTTTTTTTTGGTTGAGATTTAAATAAATCTCAAAGTTTTCTAAGGTTGTTATAAGCCTCATTCAACAAAATGCACTGGCGTGTTTCCTTAAGGCCGTGTCGCTCAAGCTATATGGTCTGTGCTTTACAGTTTGATTCACCTTTGGTATTTTCTCAGATCGTTTATTGCAAATTATGTTTTCAGGTTGCATTTCATAGAATATGATACAAATTGTAAAAATTGGGTGACGTAGCCCTAGACAAACAGTTTCCATAGATACTGCTACTCTGAAAGTCTCTTTCTTCCTTTCCAGTGAACTTGGAGACATTCCCACACTAAAAACACTGCAAGTTTTTGGAATCGTGCCAGACGGTACCCTTCAACTGTTAAAGGAAGCCCTGCCTCATCTCCAGATTAATTGCTCTCATTTCACCACCATTGCCAGGCCAACCATTGGCAACAAAAAGAACCAGGAGATATGGGGCATCAAATGCCGACTGACAGTGCAAAAGCCCAGTTGTCTATGATGCAGTTATTGTGGGATGATGTCTCCTCTTTTCTTTGGAATGGGGAAAATAGGCAGGAAACCCAATTGCTGGAGCACTCAGCTAGTTTTATTCTTGGTTTTCTCTTTGCCTTCATCCTGCAAGTATATTAGAGAACCATTGAAAGGGAAAAGTATGAAGAGTTGCTTTTTTTGAAATGACTGTAAAAGCTTCTCCCTGCTTTGCCCATAAGAGTCTAAGTTGTAGGCCTTTTGAAATTTTAGGAGAGTAAGCCTATAATTTCAAGATACCTTAAAGAACAAAATTTGAGCCACCTGTTCCAGGTGCTTTTTTTATTAAGCCTATTTAGAATCAAGCTTAAAAATTTCCACTGGCAAAGAATTTTCATAGCCTGTATGGTAACTTTTATCTATTTAATTTTTCAGCATTGCTTTATAAGACATAGCTTGAAAGAATAAGCTATTTGTATTGTGAGCTGAAAGAGAATCATAGGATAGTAGCATTTGAGGCAATCTCTTCTGGGGATAAAAAAGGGAAAAAAACGCATTACAATTTTGCCTATACATTTTCATGTAATTTACCTTAAAACCTAAATAAAAAACAAGCAAAAAAACAATCAGAGGCATAGAATTGGTATAGGATTTGAAGGCTCAAGAGGCAGTTTTTCCTATGACAGGTTAATTTGAAGTATCCTTTAATGTTTGTTGATGTACTGTGTTCCCAGAATTCTAAATTAGGTGAAGAAATATAATTGTAGTTTTCTAACTTTATAATCAAACTATGTTAACATGCGTTTTCTAGCTTTTTATATGACTTGCTTTGTTTTAGGAAGTTGGTATTAACCCAGTCGGCCTCTATTGAAAAGTTGAGTGGAAGAATTCTGAACTGAAATCACCTGCTGTTTTCCTTTAGCGCTGAAGTTCTTGAGGTTATTTTTTTATTATTCTGAAATCAAGTCTTTTAAATTGTCTTTTTTTTAATGTTCTCTCATAATAATGATTTGAAATTACCCATTTCATAAGGTTACTGGACTTAAAGTTCCCAGAGAAGAACTTCATGTTCCTTTCAATCAAAGATGCACACTAGAAGCAGGTTCCATGCAGTTTGAGAGCAGTAAGCACTACTTTTACCTACGTAAGAGTTAAGACTCCAGGTGTTGAACCTTTTGATAGAACTAGTGATTTTTTTTTTTTTAAACTGGTACATGGGGGCTGGCCATTTAGCTCAGTTGGTTAGAGCATGATGTTGATAACACCAAGGTCAACCGTTCAGATCCCCTTAATGGCCAGCTGCCAAGAACACACAAAAAAAACTGGTACAGAGTAAAAAAATTAGGTTCTGCTTTTTAAAAATCACAAAAAACTAATTTAAATTGATGGCCTCCCCATATGTTCAATATGTAACAACAAAAAAACGCCTAAACCCATCATTTTTAGTAACATTAACTTTTTTCCTTTTTTTAATCAAAACTTTTAAAAGTAGAAACAATAGTATGAAGTGCCCTTATCTGCTCAGACCTAAGGAAAACCATTTTAAAGTAGTGTTACACAGGAATTGATTATGCTTTGATTTCTTAGTTAAAAATGCTAAATACTACTTGAAATTATTGTTTACAGATTAGTGACAAGAGCTGGTAATAGGAACCAGTTGGACTTTGACTTCTGGATGCCCTCAAACATACAGTACTGCCAAACTCAAGTCCAGCCATAAGCTATTTTGCCAACATGTCAGAGTAATCTGTATTTTTGTATGTGATTTCTACTTTTATAGACTTGTTTTACAATAAAGCACATTTTTATAAAAACAAGTACTTCAGTTGAGTTGTATTCCTTTTTTTCTAAGTACTGTGGTTAAAATTAGAAAGCATTCAGTGTAGTATGCCATTTGGCTCAGAGGCCTCTAAAAAAGACCTTGCAAAACAGACCCATCTACTTCATGTGCTTATTGTCAAATTAAAATGATAGTTTATAATGCTTTTTGAAAAGGTGCTAAATACTGGCTTATTATTACATTTGAAGTGCTTCCAAAAGTAATGACTTATTTATAAAACATCTGAATTCAAGTGACTAATGTGATAATCAAGTACTATCAATAAAAGTCAGTTGGTAATACTCTTTACAGACTTGATCAGCTTGTACTGTGTATTTTACTGTCATTCAGAAACCATTTGAAGAGTTTTACCCTGTGCCCAGAGGTCTTCCAGCAATTAAATTCCTTTTGAAACCTGTCCATTCAGATGGTGGAATGGTGATTCTTAATTATCATCCAGTTTTGTTGATTTTTTTACATTATCACTACTATGCCTCATTTTTTTTTTTTTTTTTTTTTTGCTTTTAATGATAAAAAATGTCATATAGAAGCAAAAAGAATATGAACCCCATCATCCACTTTCAACAATCATTAACTCCTGGCCAATCTCACTTTATCCATGATATCAACCATTTTGCCCACCTCCTTCCCCCCAGATTATTCTGAAGCAAAACCCAGACCTATAATTTCATAAATATTTTACTATATAACTCTAAAATATAGAGATTCTCCTGAATTAATTCCGAAGCATTAAATATCAGGATATGTTGAAAATTCCCTAGTTGTCTCAATTATTTTCTTACCTGAGTTTGTTGTGAACAGGCTCCAAACATGGTCCATACCTTGCATTTGATTTGAATGTTTGAGATTTTCTAAGTGTTAATCTTTGGGTCCTCTCCCTTTTTTTTCCCCTTACAATTGGTTTATTGAAGAAACTAGGTCATTTGTCCTGTGTTACATGTTCTGCGTTTTGCCAATGTCATCCCTGGAGAGACACTTAATAGGTTAATCTGTCCCCTATTCCCATAAACTGGTAGTTAGATCTAGCAACAAAAAGTTCTACAGCAAGGGTGATTTTGCAACCCCCAGGCGATATTTGGTAACATCTGAAGACATTTTCGGTTGTCATAAGTAGAGAGGTGTTACTGGCATCTAGCCAGTAGAAACTAAGGATGCTGCTAACCATCCCGTGACACAGGACAGCCCCCCACAACAAAGAATTACCTGGTTCAAAATGTCAGTGGTGCCAGTGTTGAGAAACTCTGCTATAGAGATTTGTATTATCAAGTTCTTTTTTTAGCAAGGAAATAATAAGTAATATTGTGTTCTTCCACTAAGAGGCATATAAAATCATAAAAAGAAAGCCAGATGTTAACAACTTTCTCCTTTTCCATTTGCACTGCTGTCACTTTACCCTCTCTTGGGCCCTTGATTTCTTACTATCCTATATCCTACCCATAAGTTCCAGAGATGAGGGACACTGGCCAGGTGCCATACTTTTTATTTCTGGATAAAGTGCTTGTGTCCCTTCTATTCTGGTGAACTCAAATGCAATTCAACATTTAATGACGATCTACAATGGTGAGCATACGGTGCTTGAACAGCAGCACACGGGAAGGTGAGGAAAGGCAACTAGTCTAGGGACTGGGCAAACTAGAAAGTCACTGGGTACCCTAACCCTGCAATAAGCAAAAAGGCAACCTCCTCTTTCACTAACACACTTCTTACCCTCCCCACCTAGCCAAATACTCCAGGAAATCAAAAAGGTCTCTTCAACAAGAGGCTAATAACTCTTCAAGATTATTGCTTAAAGCCCTAAAAGCCTGTACTAATTTATGGAATTGTTTTGCTTTATTATTTATTTTTTATTGTTTTATTATTTTTGTGTTAGTGACTCTACATATTAAAATGCTGATATTTTGATACTTCTCAAAGTAGATACCAAAATATCTAAATGTACTTTTGAGCATTAAAATCACTATATTTAAGGTATTTCATTTTTAAATAATACTTAAAATATTCCTTCCTATTTTTATTTCTTTAGCTCATTTAGTCAGTGAGTTCTTAAAACTGTGCCGTTAAAGCCCACAAGACTTTAAAACAAAATTCTTTAATGCTGAAACTTAATAAGCCTTCTCACTGACTTATTTTCTAATCTCTCCTGAGTATTTTTAATGTTAAAGTCGAGAATAAACTGCATTTGAAGAAATAATTGAACTAATCTTTAGTTCAGCCGTTCAGCAATATATTTACTCTTATCCCCCTCATGACCACTATATATGTTTATTTTATTTATTATATTATTTAGATGTTACATTATCCCTGGGATCTTTTTGCGCAACTTTCTTCATAGATACTTGTCCTTAAGTATAAAGATGCATAAACTATATTGGTACAATGGAATGGATTAGTGATTTAAATTTTCAGTTTACATTGTTACTTTCACAGCTGAACAATAGATAATATATCCTTAAATTTATATTTGACAACTTTTTCAACCCTAGTGAATATTTTGCAATAAAAATAATTGGCTCTATCTTTCTGCTTATTTAAAAAGTGAATCAATGTAAAGTTTTTGTACATGAAGGTTATCCATTTAGTAAAACATGTAATTGGATTTGATGTACTGGGGTTGTGAATATAAATACATATGGAACATCAAGAATATTAAGTCGAAATTATTTGAAGAGTCAGGTAAGTACTGCGTTGGACTGAGTGTCCCTCCAAAACTTGACCCCCAATATGACAGTGTTAAGAGGGTGGGAAATCCTATCATGGTGACTGAAAGGTAGGGCCTTGAAGAGGTGATTAGATTGTAGGACCATGCTATAGTGAATGGATTAATAATGGTGGTCAGGGGTGTGATTCTGAAAGCTTTAAAAAGAGTGCATAAGGAACTATCTTGCCTTCTCTGCTCCGCCATTTTCTGCAATTTGAGACCCCTGGGGCACTGTCACCACCACTAAGACCCTCACTAGATATGTTTCCTGCACTGTAGACTTCCCAGCCTCCAAAAGTATAAGCAATTTTGTTTTCTTACAAAGTACCCAATTCTGTGTATCTTGTTATAAGCAACAGAAATGGACTAATACATTTACCCTCTGATTAAAATAACAAATCATTCTGTGCCAACTATTAGCAGTAAGTGAAGTAAACAGGGCACTGAATATACATAGCAGTGGGGAAAAAGACTTTTGACACACAAGATTTTGGGAAAACTTGGTTTGCAAATAATGACCCATAAGAGTTAAGGAAACAAAATGAAGTATAAGAGAGAACAATGATTTAATTTTATTCACATATAGTTGCCATTAAAAGGTTAACTCAGTCATAAAAACAATTTTGCTATTCTAACATCTTCTGCCTCTCATCTCTCACAAGTAAATCCCACCACAAAATAGAAATGTTAGAAGTCACATCACAGATGGGGCACATTAAGTATTTTTAAGCCTTTTAAAATATGGCTTATGAACAGTTTTACACAACACGTTACCTATGAATATGTTACATATTAACAGATGTATGGTAGCATTTTGACAATCAGATTTCCTTGACATATTAAGGATGGAGCTTGCATTTTTTTCAAGAAGGTATTTTAGATCTGTTAGGGGAGTTTCTATAGTGTGAAATTTTATTTCTTTGTAAAATGATATTACATGTATCATTTAAAAAAAAAATCAAACTAGAAACTAGATCCAGCTCTGGGAAAACACTAATTTTATTTGCTTTCTATCTGATCCATCACATAAACTCTTTGCTATCAGTATTTATGCAGATACACTTAACAAAGATAAAAAGATTCTTCTGGATATACATCAAAACTTAGATTACCTCTGTACACTAACATTTATAAACAAATCTGATAATAATATATTAAATGTTGGCAAAACTAAGAGCACCCAATTTGACTATATGAGTATATCCTAGCTTTCACAGAATCTACTTCTGAGTTCACTAGGCTCAAATTCTAAAAGGATAGTCTGTTTCATTCATCAATGTATACTGAGCACCTGACAGATTAGTACATGGCACAGAGTAGATGTCCAATAAATACTTGTCAGTGATTGAAAAAAATTTTCACCAGCAAGTGAAAAAATGGCATGAGAATACCAAGTGTTTCATTATGCAGCAACAGGATCTTTTTGGTGAAAATTCTAGGGTTACTTACTATTAGTAGATCAAGAATTTGATAAAAATAATTTCCTCTAAAAATAAATTCTCATAATGAGGAAAAAGGAAAACTATAATTTATCCTATAAAGCTAACTATGTAAAACAGAATATTAGCTAAGTGAAAATCACCACAATACCAAGTAAGGCAATTCCAAAACTACCGTGTTTCACATATTTACTAAAGAATCCATTCTCTTTCTGGCAATACTAATACTAGATGAAAATATTTTTTAAATATTTTACCAGATTCCCAAAAGAACATGTCTAATCAATTCACTTCATCCTTTTAGTAACTGAATCCATGTTAGAGAATTTTAAAGATGGAAGAAACCTATTAGACTCAAATCACTTTTAAAAAATTGTCTGAACTAAAATAGCTACTGGATAATTTATACATTTGTAACAACAGCATCATGATTTTTTCCCAATATATATTATTTCACCTAGCATTGTTGAAATTAACCAAAACGAAAGTGTAAACATTCATTTTGGTGACTGTTTGAAATTTTTAAATCAATAAAGTGTCCTAACATTGTCCTGAAATTAGAAAATTCTTAGTACATATAAAAACACATTCACCTATTTCAATTAGGTCAATGTCAGGATTTATCAAAATTGTCCATCATCATCATCATCAAAATCTTTTTTTAAAAATCTTGATTTTTACGTACTATAAAAAATATGCATTAATCATATGTGTTTGGTTTGACCAATTGCACAAAGTTAGAAAGAAAGGGAAGGAAAAAACACTTTTACAGTTAAATTTCAAATCCTAAACATTTAATCCTTTATTTCAGCCTGCCTCTCTAGATTTAAAAATATATCAGCACTCTAGGTTATCAATTGTAAGTTATATAGAAATTTCACTGGTATCAATTCTAATCAGTTTAGTCCATCCATTTTCTTACACAGTGCACATCTTTATTTCTATCAGAATCGAACAGAATACAAATCTCGCCTTCTTTGTCACCTTTGAGCCCAAAGGCAACCAGTTTCAACAATAACCAAAAAATGTTGCTTTATGGTTGGTAGTCTGTTTTTGCAGTAAAAATAGTAATCCAAATTTCACATCTGAAGAAATCCTTCACTGCTCTAGAAGCACAGTTCGAAGCTCATCTTCTTTATTGATCATCATTGAAGCAATTGCTCCATCATTAAACTCAAAAGAAGTTCCTCCATCCACAACCATACATGCGTCCCAACAACGAGAACGAACACAAACCCTAAGCAGAAGAAAATATCTCATTAGATATTAACAGTTTTCTTAACTCTAAATAATAGTGTATTTAAAACCCTAAATTTTTATCTAAACTAGCAGATCATTTGGCCTTGATTTTAAAAACCAAGTTACTCTTTGGTATGAGAGAATTAGTGACTGTAAATATATGGGTTATATTATCAAAGTCTCAAAATTTAAATGTTCAGGATAGCACCATTCACTCACACATTTATCAGTAAACAAGTGCAGACTTGATGGAACTCATAGGCTGTTTTCATATGACTGAATGTTGTTATTATCATTACAAGAATTTTAAGTATTGAGCAAGAGTGTTTCATGTAAAATATTTACTTAAGTATAACACATACACAGAAGAGGCACAAATTTTTAATGAACAGCTCAGTGAACACTTGTGTGATTATCACCCAAACCAGGAATCACGTGTTAATCAAGCTCACCAGAAGCTCCCTTACTGCCCTCTCCCAGTCGCTACCCCTTCTCCCTCCTTCCCAAGTATGCCCACTATCCTAATTCCTATCACCATAGTGTAATAGCTTTGTCTGTTCTTGAACTTCATATAAATGGAAAAATACAATATATACACTGGTGTCTGACTTCTTTTGCTCAATAGTATGTTTGTGAAATTCACCCATGTTCTTACACGTAGTAACTGATTTGTTTTCATCACTGTATGAAAACACTTCCATTGTACGAAAATACAAAATTTACATCTCTCTTCTATTCACAGACATTTGGTTTTCTGGCTCTTGGGAGTGGTGCTGCTATGAATATTCTTGAATGTTTCTTTGGTGAATACATTTCTGTTGGATATATACCTGAGAGGAGAATTATCAGGTCACCTGTGTTCACATTTGGTAGGTAACTGCCTAACAATTTTCCAAACCTATATATTCCTAACAGTAGTGTATAAAAGTTCCAGTTGCTCCTCTTTACCAACAACTGGTGTTTTAGCCATTCTGGTGGTTGTACATAGCATTGATTATATAGTTTTAATGCGTGTTTCCCAAATGAACGACAAGGTCGAGCACCTTTCTCACATGCTTATTGGCCATTTGGATATCTCCTTTTGTGGAATTCCTAGAACTTTTGGCCACTTTTTAATTGGGTTGCCGCCTGCTTTTTTCTTATTGATCTGTAGGAATTTTTATATACTATATATGCTGGCTATGAGCCCACTGCTGGATATAGGTCCTGCAAACATTTTTCTCACTCTGTAGCTTGCCTTTTTCTTTCTTAATGGTGTCTTTTGATTACCTGAAGTTCTTAATTCCCATATAGTTTAATTTATCAATCTTTTCTTTAGTTGTTAAAGTGTCTTTTATGACAAGTTTAAGAAATCTTTTCCAACTGCCAAAGTCACAAAGCTATTCTATTAACATTAGCTAAAACTTAAATATAAGAAGTATATATTTTTAACAAGTCTTTGTAGTCTCACCCAAATTGAGCATAGATTTTTTGATTAATCAAAACTAACTCTCAAATGAGTAAGTGAATTTTAAAATGAGTTTCCTTTCTAGTGTCTTACCTGGGGGGGAAAAATTATATATTCATTAAAAGAAAATATGTACACTATCAGCTGCAATTTGTAATGAAACTGTTCTTTGTTTGCTATGACATAGACGACATTTTCTCATAATTATGGTAGGTTTTCTTGTTAATTTGGAAAACTGGGCAACCTTTACAAAATAAGAAATTTTATTAATTTTTTTATATCCTCCCCCTCAAAAAAAAAAAAGCTGAAGCAGAATCAATTGATGTGAGTAGAGGGGGGTGTTCATTTTTAGGGAAAAGCTGAAAGACATGAATGCTACTCTAAAGGTTTATTCTGTGCAACTTAGATTTTATATGAATTTTTATCCTGCTTTTATTCCAAAGCTTATGAAAAAGAAGTTGCTAGAATAGTTTTTTTTTAAAATGATCAATTTCATTTTATTATGTCTTGATACATAGGACAAACAACAAATCAACATCACCCAATTAAATAACTATACCCCTTCTAGTCGCTTAAATTTTAGTTTTCTCGGGCCGGCCCGGTGGCGCACTGCTACAGTGCGCTGCTTGGGAGCGCAGCGGCGCTCCCACCAAGGGTTCGGATCCCACATACAGACCGGTTCCCGCTCACTGGCTGAGCGAGGGGCGGGTGCAGCACCGAGGGTTGCGGTCCGTTGCCGGACACGAAAAAGGGAAAAAAAAAAAATTTTTTTTAGTTTTCTCTAAAATGGCACAATATAAAAAAAAGTTTCATGTTGACCAGGTTAGCATGATACCTAGTTAGTTCCACGGGTTCTGTTTTTCCTGCCAGACTAAGTTTAAATGAGTGAATTTAATGAAGTTGAATACTCTTAATACCAACTGTGCTCTATAATGGATGAAAGGGATGAAAACAGTCAAGTCACTAGGATGCTTACTTTGAGGAGAAACAGCGCTGACGACTGCTTGAGAAAACTCTGTTTGCTATTGGTTCTCGAATACTAAAAAGTATTTTTGGTTCTTCTGGACTGTAGAGCAGTGATTCGTTATATTCATTTGTTACTAAAAAGAAAAAAAAAATTAGCATGTTCAAAAAAAGATGGTTACTTCTGAGAAGTGCAAAACAAAAGTAGACACTATCCCCAACTTAAAAGCAGTCTATTGCAAAGGTCTGTTTGGGAGAAAGTTTCTTGGAACTCACAACACATATTCCACTTAAAAAAAAAAATCCTTATAAGTGAGGATTAGGTTCCACAATTAGCCCACAAAAGCATACATCACCCACAATATAGCAGAAATAGGTAAAGCTGGGAAAAAAGAAAAAAACACTAACTCAAAACAAAGCTAGTCATTAAAAATAGAGGAATTAGTTGGACACACTCAAAATTGGAACTCAAGTTGTCATATTCCCCTGCCAAGTACTTTCCAAAATACCACGTCAAAGAATTCATAACTATAAGTAAATAGTCTTGATGTAAAATGCAGTCTCAAACAATGACAGGGAGTATGCTTTCTCCAATAAAACTTCCATCACTCAAGATATTTTTAGAAATCTTTGGGACCTGCTTTCTATCTAACCAAGAGATACATAACAGTTGGCATGCAAAGCACAAATTGGTTAAAGACAACTGTACAAAGAAATCAGGCTTGAAAGAAAGTTTAGTTGAGCAACACATCAAAAAAATTACCAGACTGTCAGATAATCTACCTTATTTTTTGGAAGTCTCATTTAAATTATTAGGCTCTTTTTAAAAAACCCAAGTTTACCTATAAAAATAAAAATTTTCCTCCCTGCGAACACATCACAAAATACGTGCTAGCTCTGAAGGAAACTTCAAAAGAGTAGTTCTAAAATGTAACAGTGATTGCACCACTGGGATTCACTACTTCTGATGATAGTCAAATCTTCAAAGGAAAAACATTCATTCAGTAATGCTCTGATATGTTTATTAAGAGAAAAATATCAATCACTACATTGTGTATATACCCTTAATTTATATAGCTGACATAAATTTGTTTTATATATGTTTTACGTTAAACTATATAATTAAGAATCAATTACTATACGAGGGTACTCCAAAATGTTCATAGAAAAACTAAATGAAAAAACAATATGAATCCTTTCATGAAATTTTTGAAGACCGCTTGTATGTACCTAATTTTCCTTTCTTTGATACAGATTTAATGTTAGTGCTAATTCATAACCCAGATCAACATAATCTTTTAGGTCTCAAATTGAGAAGAGAGGTGAGTTCATTTTAGACAGCTGAAAGGGACTTCAGAGATTTAGTCTTCTTTTCAAACCATCTCCCCAAAGGAAGTTTTATATGGAGATCCAATACATAATAAAGATAAAATAAACTGACGCTGTTAATAAACTTTATCAAGTTCAAATGTATTGCTAACTCACTTCAAAGGCAACCAGTAAGAATAAGGCTGCTCTGATAACTCTCAAATTCAAGTGTCCGTGTTTATGAATGACAGCGGCAGTCTTACATGTGTTAATATCCACTTTGTGTCTATATTTTGTTTTGGTTATGAATGTTGAGAAAATTCTTACACAGGTAGGTAGATGTAACTATAAACAAGTTTAGGCTTTTTTGTTTGTTCGAGCAATTGACCTCGAAATTTTAGGATACTCATCAATTAAACAGATACAGCACGGAAAGCTTTGATTTGAGATCTGTATAAGAACGATCCTGGTAGATGTGTGGACTTCAGTGTGTTAAAATCTGATACGCAAATCAAATGAATGTGTTTTTCAATTTAAGAATTTAAAACTTTTTAAAAATAAAATTTAAAGAATACATTTGAAAAACTCTTAAGCACCAGCAGGATGATTTATTTCAACCCCCTTTTTACAGCTGAGGAAGTAGAGAAGTGGAGGGTCATAGTCTTGCTCACAGTTTCACAGCGAGCGACTGTTTGATCTGGGACTGGAACCCAGGTCTTCAAATTTCTTGATCCTTGCTCCAACAGTGCTATTTCTCTTAAAATAATCCTGAAGGGTAAAACTAGATAGGAGAAGGTTAAAGAGAACGTTTGAGTGAATGTGAAAATAAGCGTTCACAGCTCAAGTGAATTCCATCTCATTCAAAAGACATGGATAACACACCAAACTTAGGTATGCATTTCCTATTTGCAAGACATAGATTTTTCTATGTTTTCCTCTCTCTCAGGACATGTTTGTAGTAAGGGTTATATTTTCATGGTTGACAAAAATAACAATATAAAATTCTGCCTTTAAACTTCATATTGTTTAAATATATTTAAGAGGATATTATATTTAAGAGCATGTTTGAGTCAGAAAAATTACTCTGCTAATTAAACAACTATACTTCATAATATCATTCTAAAAATTGATTAAACATTAAAAATCTAAAAAACTGAATTAAACTGTTAGTGATTAATATCACTTGTCACTGACCTTTTTCTACCAATTCCCTGTTCAAGGGAAGACTCAAATTTCCTTGTCGCTTTGCTATTGAAAGAGAAAAGGGGGAAAGTATCTCGATTAGGTATTTTATATCATATACTAACAAATATATAAGAATACATATACATTATATAGTATACTATAACATATAATAGCTATTTTGGTACTCACCAATATTTAAAACATCTTCCACAGCCTGAGTTGCAACCCTATTAATATTGAATGACCTAGAAACAAAAACCACATAATTCTTTCTTGTATTAATTCTAAAAACATGCTAAATATGAAAAGAAATAACCTACTTAATATATAAAGAACTCTTAGAAATTATTATAACATTTTATAAATAAACACAGCTAAAAACTGATAAAGTTTTTATCATGGGCATGGGCATAGGGAAAGTAGTATTCTTAAACACTGATAGGAATGTAGAAGCTGAAGTTGGAGAGCATTTATGCACTATCAGAATTTAAAATGAAGATATTCTTCAATCTAATAATTTATCCTAAAATATACTTCTACATATAATGCACAAAGAAATGTACAAGAATATTTACTAAGCATTACTTATAACAGCAGAACTCATATATATTCATAGGAAGCTAGTTAAATAAATTACATTATAGCTATTCATTATATTAAAAAGAACAGAACTATATGTGCTGATGGAAGAATAACCAAAATGTTAAAAAACAAAAGGCATTATATAGTGTATATATTATTTCCATGTTTTGTTTAAAAAAAAAAAAAAACTTCATATTTATGGCAGCTTTATCCAGAAATCAGTACTAAAGGTATGAAATGAAATGAACACTAGTTTTACTTTTTAACATATGTAAGTATTTCTTTAAATTATAGCTTCCTTGAAGGCAAGAAATCTTTTACATGTATGATGTCTTGTTTAACCACTTGAAAAACAAACTTTATCACAAACATGAATAACTTTTTAAAACAGCTCTGTCCTGGGGTCTATAAAGATCATTAAGGAAAGGTTTTTAAAAAAAAAAAAAATTCTTACAGATAATTTAGAATTCTTCTACTACCTTATAACTCTTCTTACATGGTCTCAATAGATAATGACAATATAATGAGTCAACAAAACTCTAAACCTAAATCATTGGCTCAACTTTTTTGAGGATGGGGAGTAAGAGATATTTCCTATACCCTTATAACCCTATACCCTTCATGTCTGGAGAAATGAGAAAACATTTTGGACATTCTTTTAAGTAAAATGCAGATACACAAAACTTTACACTAAAAATTTAAGGTCAGTCACAGAACAAACCCCTTTGCTAAAAAATCTAAAATCTGACCCTTGCCAATGCAATTTTTCACCATTATCTGCCCCCAATTTCACATTCCAACACCACCAAGCTCATTTCTGCCTCTGTACCTTTGTTCACACTTACTATGTGGGGCAAAATACCTTTAAATTTCCTGACTTCCTTATTGTTTAGTATGAGGTTCACATTACTATCTAATTAGTATTACTGTTACACACTACAAAACATAAGGCACTTAGGACACTACCTGGCTCATGGCAAGAACTCAACATTGAATGGAAATGTCAAAAGCAAGGAGTATGTATGAGTTATATTCTAATTTCTCTGAGCATCCTTGTTATTGGATGTGGACTGTTTAGGGATTCTCCTTATTTTAAGTCTAAAAGTCATATAAAAGTAAGCTTCATTAATTATGGTTCTATGAAATTAAAATATGTAGTTGAAGGGCAAAAGATTTTAGTGACTAATATCTTCTTATAGTAAAGACAATTTAAAAGAACAGAAGTCTTATAAGAATTTGCTATAATAGTCCTAAAACTATCACTTATTAGGGATACCACAAACCTACCTCAACTAAGACTTCTACATTGGAGTTAGACTAAGATTAATAACCTCCTCTTGTTGTAACCTGGATCTCAGCCAATTCACTCTACCTTTAGTTAAAGTTTACATTCTATATCCAAGATAACTATATACCTAAGCAGGTGTTAGCTAGCAACATGACAACTTTGTTCTTAGGTCTATAACCTTCACCATTCCAAGAGTTGCCATTTGAAATCAGACATAACCTCTACTGAAGACAACCAACCAAATTGGAAGACAACTGAGTATCATTTCTTCATCAGCTACTAAAACCCTGTCTTCTAAAAAGAATCTCCTCATCCTTAATTAGGTCTGGTAGAGCACAATGTATGGAGGAGGAGTACTGGGAACAGTTTCTTAAGAAACAACAACAGTTTCTTAAGAAACATCTCCCAGAACATATGGAGATTCCACTCAACAGTACTTCTCCCACTGTGTGGAGTAAATCATGTTCCACACTGGGCAAAGGGCCAAGATGATAATGGAACAGTTCAGAGACACTTGCTATGCTACAGAACTCCTATATCCTATCTCCTGTGGAAGAATTTTTGGAAATGCAAAGATGGGATAGTCATTCCCCAACCCTAATTTTTTCCTGGACACATAATTAAGCTATATTTTCTAGCTCCTCTTGCTAAAGTTCTAGCTAAAGGAATCAAAGTTGAGGTGATGAGCAACATTTCTAGGACTGGCTCACAAGCCTCCCATGGGTATCCTCCTTGCTCTTCCTTCTTCTGTGTGTCTTGACATAAATGAGCACAGCGACCTTAGGAGCTATGTTTAAAAAATGGCAGAGCCACATGATAGAAGGAGCCTGGATCCCTGAATAACCACTTGGAGGAGAGCCACCTGCCAATCAGGAACAACCACTTCTGACTTTATGAGAACAAGAAATAAACTTCTATTGTATTAAGCCACTGAGATTGGGGGGTACATCTGTTACAACAGCTAGCTAACCCTAAGTTATACATTTCTACGTTTCATATTCAAAGCAAAAACTGAGAAGGTCACCTAAGAAAACAAACTTTTATGTCTCTGTATAAAGAATTAAGAGAAGAAGCGAAACAAGAAATAGACTATCCTAATCTTTTCTTTCCAGTGACTCTTCAGAGATCTATAGTTTGAAATCTAAAATTTAAATCCTGACTTCACCATTTATTAGCCACATGGTATGGGCAAGTCAATTAACTTCTGAGACTTTTTATAACCTATTAATGAAAATAAAATCACCTACCTCCACAGTATTTGTGAGAATTTAAATAAGATAATATAATTAGCTTGGAACAAAAGAAAACGCTGACAAATGGTAGTATGATAAAATAAAAATTATCAACATATAGAAATATATAGCTTTCCCCTAGCCCTCTGTTTCCTAGGCTTCTTGTGTCTCCCCACACTTTCTGAAGAGAAAAGGACAAAAGATGAATGAGAAATACAATCACAGCAAAAGAATCATCAATTATGGGGGGGAGGGGACAGAACATGATAGAAGGAAGCAAGCTGCATAGAACTCAGTAGAGAAGAAACTGAGTAACCAAGATAACAGGGATAGGATCTAGTTAGTGAGAGAGAGTTCTATATTAGAGCACAGGAGATAATAAGAGACCTTAAAAAGCAACATAGAGAAGGCTGAAATTCTAATGTAAGCCACACTTATTCAAATGCAACATCAACACAAGACTCAAATAAAGAGTGCGTGAGGAGATAGGCAGGGAATAGTTTAAAAACATTATAGTGGCTGTTATTCTTCATGCTGTTCTCATTATTAAAAATCTGAAAATAATTTTCTGATAAATTAAAAGTCTGAAAATTAAATAATTCTGATAATTCTTCAATATAACCTAGTGATTCATCTTTCAACTATGTGACCTCTGTAGTCCTCTCCCTCTCCATTAAAAGTGAACCTTCCCTTGTGAACCAGCACACCAGCACAAGCAATAATGACACAATGAAAAGAGAATTAGTTTTGCAGTCAAGCACACTTGTGCTTGTATCCAGCTTCTGACATTAGTTGTGTGACTTTGGCCTCAATATTTACCTTTGCCAAGCCACAACTTCTTTATAAAATGGCCATACTACTACTTTCTTTCAGGATTTCTATAAGGATTGATGTATAAAAATATTACCTAGCACAGTACAAAGTAGCAGGAGCTAAACAACTGATAGCTTGTATTATAATGCATAAAATAAAAACTTACAGAATCACAGAAGTTCAGAAGATAAAGTAATTTTATTATTTTATCTGTTCCATTTTCCTCATTTTGCAGATAAGGAAACTTGTACATGGTTGCAGCTAGTTAGTGGTTTAGCCAGGTCTCTTAACTCTCAAGCCAGTATTCTTTTCAAAGTACATTTTGACCACTTTTATGGATGAGAATACTGGGAAAAGAAAAGCGAAAGAATCTGGGAAACTATTTCTAATCCTCATTCCAGTTTTCAACAAGTAGCATACCATGTTTAGTAGAAAAGATGCTGTCATTATAAATAAAAGTTGTTAACTAATGTTTCAATTTAATCTATGAGATAGTACAAAATAATTTTTAGCAAATTAGATGATTACATTTATTTTTTCAAACAATTATTGGAAAAGTCATTTTAGAAATGTAATTGTTCCTCTCACTGGCCCGCAGGAAAATGAGATATTAACCTATCTTTTTAAATGATACTTATTTTTTCCAAATGATTACTTATTTGTCTAAAACTAAGACTTTTTTAAAAGATGTAAAGTTATTGAATACTTATAAATGAAATGACATAATGTCTGAAAATTACTTCAAAGTAAAATGGAACAAAACGAAGTAGGTAGGGGTACAGAGGGCATGAGTTGATAATTACTGAAACTGGCTAATGGGTACATGGCAATTCATTACACTGTTTTATCTACTCTTGTATATATTTAAAATTTTCCACAATAAAAAATTTAAAACATCATGCTGAAAAAGTAAGCAGTAAAACTCTAAACCATCCAAACTTAAAATCACAATTTGATAAGCACAGTTTGTTATATTTGTGAGCATTTAGTAATTTTTTCAAAAAATATCTGAATGAATATGTATTAGGTACTGTGGGTATGCACACAAAAATTCAAGAAGAAAAAAAAAATACACTAGTCACCATCCCAAATCTCTCAAGTTGCTCAAACTAGCTGGATATTAGCATATTAAATAACTAATAATGTGATATGTGCTATAATATTGCTAAAAGAAAAGGTGCTGGGGAAGGACAAAAAAGGGATTAATTCATTGTGCTTATGAAAGGAACTGAGTGTTAATGAAGATTTCCTAAAAAGAATAACATTTGAAGACTGGACGTTTCAGCCAGTAGATGGAAAGTGGACTGTTCAGGCATTCAAAGCAGGAAGAAGTCACACTGTGCAAAAACAAAAAGCCAAGAGAGAACAAGGCGTGTGCTGAGAATTGCAAGCAGCCTGTGGTATCTCCAGTGTGCTGATGGGTAGGGGTAAGGATATGGGCAAAAATAAGGCCAGTAAGGTACCTAAGGTTATGGTTTAAAGGGCCTTAAATGACAGAGGTCAATGAAAGTTTTAAAGCAGATAAGAAATACAGTCAGATTTATCTACATTTTAGAAATATTACGCTGTTGGTAGTGTGGATTACAGCCTGAAGAATAAAAAATGAGAAACAAAGAATATTCTCTAAAAAGATGGGGCTTGGACCAAAGAAGCAGCAGTAGAAACTGAAAAAGTTGGACAAAGACTTCACAAGTGAAATTAACGTGATTTAGAGGCTGGGATGTGTGGAGGGGAGAAAGAGAAATGGAAAGACTCAAAAGTAAGAACAAGGTTTGGAGAAGTAATGTTTGTCTCTACAGTATGGAGTCCAGGTAAATACTGGTGGTATTAAGCAATACAGAAACACAGAAAGAAAAACTAAAGACAATAAATTAAGTTTTGAACATGTTGAATTTGAAACACAATATCCTATCTAGTAGCTAATTTTAGAATATGAGTTTATACAAAGGAGAGAATACAGCTACAGATATGTTTGCACCTACATGTATATACTAAGAATCACAAGAAACTACCCAGAGGGAGGTTATAAACAAGATAGAGGATGCCCCAGGTTATCTCTAGTTAGGCCTTAATGCACAAACCTCCATCCTATTTTGTGTATTGTACTTTTAATTCATTTCTTTACTCTTGTTTAAAATATCCTTCGCTTTTAAAAAACTGCATAGTCCCAAGAACTAATTCTTATTTCCTTTTTTTCTTTATAAACCTAATTCAGCAGTAGGCTCCATAACGACCAAATAATGACCAAACCCCGGCTATAACTGTAATCCAAAAGTCAAGTCAGGACTACTAGATCCAATCAATGAGAGAAGCAGAAACAGGGCCATCCTGGTAACACCAGGCTACCTCTTGCATACTATAGGCCTTAGATGCATCAATATATCAAATAAATTATGTTACTTAAAGTATTTCACAAAAGTTGATAAGCAATATCCCAAGTTACTCACCAGGCCTTTGATCCTGTTCCAGTACACAAATTGAGCCCTGAACTCTTCTGTTTTTCCCACGGACCATCATCAACTGAAATCTCATAGTAGGAAGCCCTACGAATTGAGAATATAAAACTGTGTTTGCTGAGCTATGGTTCACAGTAAATAAGACAAACATAGTGTTTCTCAGAACTGACAACTGAAATCTCATAGTAGGAAGCCCTACGAATTGAGAATATAAAACTGTGTTTGCTGAGCTTATGGTTCACAGTAAATAAGACAAACATAGTGTTTCTCAGAACTGATGAAATCCAAGTCAGCTTGACCAAGACATATCTAACTTAGTAGGCACACATATCATGGAACTAATTCCAATATTGATTAAGTAAGAAAGTTACGGGAAAAAAAAAAACAGCTTCTGCATGTCTGTATGCCTTTCTGGTCTATATGCTCCTTTCTATCCGTCCTTTAATATTTCAGATAAGGGCTTCTTGTAAATTTTTAGCTAGCATTGCTGCTACTGCTCTTATAGAATCTAACATATACAAAACCTCATTTCAGAATTTAAAAAAAAAATACCATTCTTAGGTGAGTTTCATTCTTGGTAGCTAGTGCGTGATATATCTAAATCTGTATCTAATTCTTTGAGTTCCTGCTAAACTCTTATTTCTTAAGTTATATCCTAATATACCTTTTGAATTGGCAGTAAACTAACAGAGATAAGATAATAAAGCTCTAAAGAAAATTATCAACCAATACTGGACTAGTAGTCAAAGTAGGACTCAAACTAGAACTGTAATTTCTTAAGAGATTTACATTTCTTAGAATATTTAATAAGTATGAAATCAAATGGGTTTTCTGACACTAGCAAAAATGACACTATTTTTTAACTTCATGAATATGAAAATTATTTGTAACTAATCAAAGAAATTTTGAAATATATAAAAGCCTATTTTGTAAACCCTATTTTAAAATAACAGTGCCACACTGATCAACACTAGATTATTTTTTCTCCAGCAAATAAAAAAGTTAAAATAAACCTTTAATAAAATACAGTTTTCAAAATAACAATTATTGATATGCTTGCAAGTACTAACAGTCTATGAATAATTTATTGCTTATTCTAACTCCATTTCTCCCTGCATGGTTTTACATGATAGAACTCCATTTTTTTCTCTGTAGTCAGTATTCCTTCTAAAAATAAAAGATAGCAAGCCTAATATTCACATTTAATCTACTCCATAGCTTTGTTATGCCTTCCCAAAAAATGCACACTAGGAGCCTAGTATGTACAGACAAGCCAGCCAAATCCACAGAAATGGCTATTACTGTGACAGAATCAGGTAGAAACAAAAGAGATTAGAGGTAAGTGGGAATAGGAAGAAGAGCAGCAGAGATAGGAAGGAAGAAAAGTATAGTCAGGTGAGAGATGCTGAGCTCAAAACAATGAGCAAATTTAGTGTCATTCTCACATGCAAGTTTATAAGATTAGTTAATTCACAGGATTTTTGTTTCAGGGAAATTATTTTTTTTAAGGCAGCAATAAAACTCACAGTCCCTTTAGAGTGGGTATACTTCTTCTTAAATTGTCCACTGCTACAGCCCAAGAATAAGACATTCTAGGTTAGAACAAATAGAAGAAAAGAAAAAAAAATTGGGCTTTTAAAATGTTCTTAAATCTAAGAACATTATAAATGAGGCAGGAATAATATTGCTGCACTTCATATTTTCCAAGCAAAGTACTTGTCTTGTTTTCAGAGTATAGTTAAGCCTCAATATAGGATCTGGAATCAGAAACACTAGGTATAAAAATTTTGATGCTAGCTAACTACGTGACCATGGGCACATTATTTGAACTTTCCAAATCTCAATTTTTTCACTGATAAATGTAACTACCTTTCTCATAAGGTTGCTATGAGCATTAAATGAGATAACATACACAACATACACACAATGCCTGACACATAGCAGGTATTTAATACATGTTCGTTTCCTTTCTTCCTAAGGGTCTACCTCATAGAATCTTTAAAAATAAGTTATTATACCTCTAAACTGTTTTCAATAGCATCAGAAGCCAACCTTCTGCATCCGTACCTTAGTAAAGATATAAGGTGGGGCATCACAGAACACAAAAAGCAGCAGCATCAGACATTATTAAGGAGATAAACCAACCAGACTACTACTGCCAAAGGAAATAAAAGCATTCAATCTAAAATCCTCTCATGGGGATTTCACTGACTCCCCAAAAGTCCATCAACTAAGTCCATCCGGTTTTCCTTATAAGTTATTTAATTTTTTAGTAAGTACAAATTATAAATCAACACTAGTAGAAGCTCTCAGCAGTTAACCACCCAATCTTTAAAATATGCAAATAATAAAATAAGCCATTAAATGGCTTGCCTAGAGTAAGCAAAAACTCAGATGCAAAACATTTTTACCTTTGTCATCTATTTAATTTAATGTAGACTTTCTCCTACCTCATTTAAAGTTGTTGCTCTCTTCTCTGTCTTATGTCTTTACCAATAATGACTAGATTATATCACTAAATAGAGTTACATTTTCTCCCTTCTCTTCTATCACATAATAGTATCTATTATTCATCTCCATATTGCTTCAAACAAGTTATTTTCAATATTACCTGAGTTGAGTCACTGTCTAGAATGAGGATATCTTTTTTAGTTAAGACAAATTTTTCTCACCATAATTAAACTTCTTATGGAAAGATATTACTTGCAACAAACAATTTCAGAATTTATGCAACTTGCAGTAAACTAGAGAACCAACTACATGGTTTTCAAAAGGTCATATAGTTCTGGTAGCAGGAAATTGGGACATACAACTCATCTCTAATTTCCACCCCTAATTTATTTACATCTACAAAAATAAGAAGTAAGTCAAGTTCTAAAGTACTACCAAGAGTTAAATTAACTTTTACATTATGGTAGTTATCTTATTGCTGGTAACTATGTTGCACAAAAAAGCTTTGCAAAAAACTTTTGTTGACAATTTAAACCTAAGTTATATTCAAGGCCCACAAAATAGATTTTATCAGTAATAAAACATATACTACATTTTAATACTCCTAGTGAGGAACTGTATTAACCTTACTTAATCTTTGCTAACAATGGTTATAATCTTGAACCGTCAATGCATCTGGCCTTTCAATGTTAAACTAAAAAGGACACATCATTACCTATGTAGCATTCCTGTCAAAAATGCCTAGTCTGAATCTTATCGGGCAGATTAAAAAAAAAAAAAGAAAATCATACAAATCTAAAATTAGGCATATTCTGCAAACCAATTGTATTAGACCACTCAAAAATATTAACATAACAAAAGACAAAACAGGTGGGGCTAAGGAGCTGTTCTTAATTAATTATAAAGGGCTATGACAGCCAAATACAATGTGTGATCCTTAACTGGATCCTGGGTAAAAACAAGCAAACAAAAAAATCAGTTTTAAAGGACACTAAGTTGGTGGGATAATTTTAATATAGACTCACTATAAAAGTTTTATATCAATTGCAAATGTATGCCTAGTATAACACTCTCTTAAACATTTATAAAGCACCTATATAGTAGATTACAAGCTATGGAAAGCAGTACAGTAAAGACACTTGAATAACTTTGTTTAACCTAGGGTTTCACAAACCTTTTTGGTCACATAAAGTTCTTTCCCCTTAATGTGTATTAATGTATATGAAGGTTTGAGAAATATTTCATTAATTAATTTCTATTACTTCTACAATATTATTTATAAATCCCAGCCAGGTTGTAGAAATTTAATATCAAAAAAGTAATAAAATATTAAATTCCATACTCAAGATAATAGGTTTAAAAGTACCTGGAAGATAGACTCTCCCCAATGAAGACTTCATTTAGTGCCCTCACTGGCAAAAGTTGCGGTCCTGAAGCCTCAGACTCTGCGGGGGGGGGGGGGGGA